TAGACAAATACAAATAATACATAGACACGTAATCAAATAATCAAGTAATACCTAATTCAATTAAATACATAAGCAATTAGTCAAATAATTTAAATAATTAAAAATACAATTAAAACAAATAAATAAATACCGAGACTATCCTTTTAAAATTAGGGGTATTACAGTTCGGCCTCTGGTTCCGCTTGATCTGCTCAGTCGGGCGGTTCTTGTGATACCCCTCGGATCCAAGACACGGGTCGATCAGGCCCAGGCCCAAACCCGAGGGAATATCAAACAATTAAAGTATTTTAAAACGAACACAGATGACAAAAAGAAACAATAAAGATAGAATAAAGCTGAAAGAAATAATAATAATAAAACCCTCCATGTGTAACTGAAATAATAAAACTCCAATCCTCTCAAAACTTCAAGGTTACAACTTGGGAATCCACTGGTGGACCCCTAACCAAAAGTTCAACTGAAACAGAAAACTGAAAATAGATAATGCCAGAAACATCGAGAGAAATCCTACGTAATCAGATGAATGTGAGACTGTCCTCGACAAGCACGATCAAGCTCTAAGGCTGGAACCGTCCTGTACCTGAAAAGAATAATGAAGGAGTGGGTCAGACCCACGAGCAAGTTCTAATCTAACTGCAATCCATACAGTGACCCGATACGCAGATACACCGTAAACACCTCACAATATCTATCTAGTCCATACGTATAAATATATCCACACTAAGGGACATTCACTAGTCTATAATAGGGGTCTTAACCTGAATAGAAGGCAACATGCGAATACGCACCCAAAGGTGGGCATGAGTACCTAGACCTAACAGGGTACACCTCAACCTATTATAACCAGCTACGTATCCATTGCATAGACGCACCCTAACCAACGAGTCTGAGACTCAAGCTCAACTCGTAGTACCATAAACATATATATAAAGTCCGTCCAAATCCAGGGTATGTAATTCAACTATTTATTAAACTGACATACAATAAACCAACTAGTTAGTCACTCAACTTATTCAGTTGATATGACTTAACTACCATCCGTTAATCCAGGAAGTCATCCAACTTGGTTACAGCTGATCTGACTTGGTCACAATTAGGATTCGATATCTTTCAATCCATTCCATTAATCCATTAGGTTAGGTTTATGCGTTTTGAGCTAAACCGTCCCTAGTATGTCACCGTCCCATACCGGTGCATACAATCCTCCATGTCCAGGTAAATTACAATGTATACATAATGAACAAGTAATTTACAGTCCAAAACCACCATCCAAATAATTGTAGAAAAATATTTAAGATTTCAGCAATTTAAATCCCAAAATTAAACCATGTAATTGCAGGAAACAGTTTAATAGTTTACACAACTAGCATCCAAAGCATGCATTGACCCAATCCAATATATCAATGACTCTATCATGCATTTAGAACAAATTCTATAATCCCATTATAGTCCAACAAATTGCTAGATTAACATAAACAATTTATTTCGTCCCATTCGATAACAGTGTACTAAGTCATTCGCTTTTATACTGTTTTATCCTTTATCTTAGAGACTTAAACCATGCATCAACTAGTTTAATCACACTTAGAATCAAGTAATTAAATCCTCTGAAAAGTCCCCACAATCCATTAGAAGCATCCCAAGGCTCAAACAGTGTCCAGAATACCAAACAGTGCCTTAAAACTAAAAAAAAATAAAAATTAAACGTATATTGCAAAAGGGAGCCTGCTCCAAATTTTGGGAGCAGGCTCTTTCAGCCTAGAGCCGGCTCTACTTGTTGTGGGAGCCGGCTCCCACATCCATGGAGCCGGCTCTAAGGACTCCTAGAGCCGGCTCTAGGCTGAAAGAGCCTGCTCCCAAAATTTGGAGCAGGCTCCCTTTTGCAATATACGTTTAATTTTTATTTTTTTTTAGTTTTAAGGCACTGTTTGGTTTTCTGGACACTGTTTGAGCCTTGGGATGCTTCTAATGAATTGTGGGGACTTTTCAGAGGATTTAATTACTTGATTCTAAGTGTGATTAAACTAGTTGATGCATGGTTTAAGTCTCTAAGATAAAGGATAAAACAGTATAAAAGCAAATGACTTAGTACACTGTTATAGGATGGGACGAAATAAATTGTTTAGGTTAATCTAGCAATTTGTTGGACTATAATGGGATTATAGAATTTGTTCTAAATGCATGATAGAGTCATTGATATATTGGATTTGGTCAATGCATGCTTTGGATGCTAGTTGTGTAAACTATTAAACTGTTTCCTGCAATTACATGGTTTAATTCTGGGATTTAAATTGCTGAAATCTTAAATATTTTTCTGCAATTATTTGGATGGTGGTTTTGGACTGTAAATTACTTGTTCATTATGTATACATTGTAATTTATCTGGACATGGAGGATTGTATGCACCGGTATGGGACGGTGACATACTAGGGACGGTTTAGCTCAAAACGCATAAACCTAACCTAATGGATTAATGGAATGGATTGAAAGATATCGAATCCTAATTGTGACCAAGTCAGATCAGCTGTAACCAAGTTGGATGACTTCCTGGATTAACGGATGGTAGTTAAGTCATATCAACTGAATAAGTTGAGTGACTAACTAGTTGGTTTATTGTATGTCAGTTTAATAAATAATTGAATTACATACCCTGGATTTGGACGGACTTTATATATATGTTTATGGTACCACGAGTTGAGCTTGAGTCTCAGACTTGTTGGTTAGGGTGCGTATATGCAGTGGATGCATAGCTGGTTATAATAGGTTGAGGTATACCCTATTAGGTTTAGGTACTCATGCCCACCTTTGGGTGCGTATTCGCATGTTGCCTTCTATTCAAATTGAGACCCCTATTATAGACTAATGAATGTCCTTTAGTGTGGATATATTTATACGTATGGACTAGATAGATATTGTGAGGTGTCTACGGTGTATCTGCGTATCGGCGTATCGGGTCACTGTATGGATTGCAGTTAGATTAGAACTTACTCGTGGGTCTGACCGACTCCTTCATTATTCTTTTCAGGTACAGGACGGTTCCAGCCTTAGAGCTTGATCGTGCTTGTCGAGGACAGTCTCACATTCATCTGATTACGTAGGACTTCTCTCGACGTTTCTAGCATTATCTATTTTCAGTTTTCAGTTTCAGTTGAACTTTTGGTTAGGGGTCCACCAGTGGATTCCCAAGTTGTAACCTTGAAGTTTTGGGAGGATTGGAGTTTTATTATTCAATTACACATGGAGGGTTTTATTATTATTATTTCTTTCAGCTTTATTCTATCTTTATTATTTCTTTTTATCATCTGTCTTCGTTTTAAAATAATTTAATTGTTTGATATTCCCTCGAGTTTGGGCCTGGGCCTGATCAACCCGTGTCTCGGATCCGAGGGGTATCACAGTTGGTATCAGAGCACTCCGGGTTCAAGTGTCTCTAGGACGTTTCGTATTAAGACTTCCGCGTTGCATTTTTTTTATATATAGAGCTCATGTTTAGGATTCGTTGAATTCTTTTACGGTTCGTTTAAACTCGTACTGATGTCTGTCTTTCTATGTTAACAGCATGGTTAACACTGGAAGAGGATAGAACATGAACAGTCGACAGAGGAGCGCGGCACGTAGACAGCAGGAACGTCTACAACGTCAGCAAATGGAAGAAGAGCAGCAAATGCCAGGGTTTCAGGAGGAGCAGGAGGAAGTTCAACAAACTCAGGGTCGGGTCAGAGATCCAGAGATTCCTCCACACCTCAATGACCTTGTTGCTCGGGCTATAAAGGCTGGGGTAACAGCTGCACTTTGGAACCAACCACAGGTTCAGCAGGCACCTGTACCAGTACCAGTGGTTCAGACAGATTCTTGGGGAAAGGCTAGGAGCTCTTTCACAAAGGAGAGTCCACCTGTGTTCTCAGGCTCAACCGATGCGAGAGCAGCTCACCAGTGGAAACAGGATATTGAGCGTCATCTTCATTTGGTTCAGTGCACGGAGGTTCAGAAGCAGATGTTTGCTACTTTCAAGCTAGTTGGGGATGCATTACAGTGGTGGGAGTCAGTTACCACCCCAGAGGAGAGGATGACATTGTCTTATGATGAGTTCAGTGCTCACTTTGACGAGAAATATTTTCCCTATGCAGTTAGGGCAGCTATGAAGACCGAGTTTCTAAATCTACAGCAGGGAAACATGACAGTGGCGGAGTATGAGCAGCAGTTCACACGCTTGTCTCTCTTTGCACCGGAGGAGGTGGATACAGATGAGAAGAAGCGTAACAGTTTCGTCAAGGGACTGATGTGGTCTATCAAGAGAGCTATTACAGGTAGTCCAGCCTATACTACCTATGCTCAGGTGGTAAACGCCGCTCTACAACAGTATCAGTTGACTGTGGACATCAGGCAGGCTCGTGGTGAGAAGCGAGGTGATAAAGACTCTACTAATCAGTCAGCTGAAAAGGGGAACGGCAATGGTCACAGGCATAATGACAAAGGCAAGTTCCAGGGACAACAGCCTTGGAAGAAGTACAAGGGTGGTTCAGATGCTCATCGGAATGGGGCACCTATTCAGAGGCAACAGAATGGGGGACCACAGGCAGGACAGGGTCAGCCACGGGCTAACCGACAGAGGAGGCCATTTGGTACTTTCCAGGGTAGTTGTTACAGTTGTGGAGAGTATGGTCATACCACCAGGCAGTGTCCTAAAGCAGGACAGGGACAGTATGTGCAGCAGGGACAGAGGGCGCCAGTGCCTCTACCAGCTCCACAGGTTCCACGGATTCAGGGACAGACACATCTGGCTTTACCGGCACCGCCGCAGACTCAGGGACAGGCACCACAGCAGTTGCATTATGGCAGGGTGTATAACCCCATGCCACAGGATGTTCAGGCACCTCCGACTATTAAGGGTAAGTTTCCTATTCATGATTTGCATGGACGTATTTTATTTGATACAGGTGCTACACACTCATTTGTAGTTAAGACTTTTGTTGCTTTATCGGGGATGAGGACGAGGGGTATCATAGTTCTGCTCTTGCGCCGGACCTTGAACATAGCTTACAAATTCCCCCTTTGCGATTAGCATCTCTACCTGCCTCCTTAGGTTCCTGCATTCGTTAGTCTGATGTCTAAAATCACTATGGAAAGCACAATGTTTAGTTTGATCCCTCTGTTCAAGAGGTTGCCTAATTGGCAAAGGAGGACGAAACTTATCTTTATTTTCTTGGTATAGCCTTGCTAAGGTGACTCTGAGTGGAGTTACTGATTCCTCCTCCCTGGGCCTTTTCTCCGCCTTCCATGAGGTGTGACGTTGCGGCTGAGCTTGTTTTTGCCGGATCTTGGCTTTGGACTTCTCTTCCGTCGAAATAATTAACGTCTTCCTCGAATTAGCTGCCTCTTCTTCCTCAAGACGAACAAAATCGTCAGCTTTCTCGTTCAGCTCGTCCATGGTCTTTGGCGTATTAACCACCAAACTGGTGCGGAATGGCGTCCCCCGATTCATTGTGAGTTTAAATGCTTGGACTGCTGTGGATGGATGACACTCCATTACCATACTTTTAATGAGGTTGAACCGGGTGAGAAAAGCCTGGAGCCGTTCATCCTCATGCTGTTTCATTGTGAAAAGGCTTGATACATCCTTAGCCGGACGTTTATTCCCATAGTACTGGCTTATGAACTTATTGCATAAATCCTGGAAACTGGCAATTGAGCCCTGAGCCAGATTCTTGAACCAATTAAGAGCTGGTCCAGCCAAGCTCGTAGGGAAGTATTTGCACATCAAATGATCATTGTTAGTATTCAGAGCCATTTTCAACTGAATATAGTAGATGTGATCGACTGGATCGGTTGTTCCGTCAAACAGAATGAAAACCGGCATGGAGAACTTCTTCGGATTCGGCGCGTTCAGAATTTCATCAGTGAACAGAGATGCGACCATTCTTGCTGATGAGTGCAACGCTTCGTTTTCCCTTGAAAACCCCCGATCAGCAGACCTTCTTTCTGAACTGTGGTAATCAAATGTTGCTAATAAAGGTCGGTAAGGCGGATCGAATGACTTGTCCTCCGCAAACTCACTTCGCCATGGTGACGCAACCCTATGTTCATATGCCGGTGCTTCCTCCCTCATAATTCGTTCGCGATGTGGTTCCAGATGAATAGATCATTCCCGATCCTCTACTCGACGGATATTCGGAGGCAGATCACCGATTATAACTTCATCACGACGTGGATCAACACGATTAACACCTTCTGGATCATCTTGACGATCAACTTAGGACGGCAAAGCTCCCTCTCCCTCAGGAGGTGGCCTCGAAATTGCAAGAGCCTCACGACGCTCCATTCCAGCTCGTAGCTCTGCATTTTCTTTCCTCAAAGCGTCGATCATGTTCATCAGCTCATCGAGCTTCGTCTGCTGGCCGTTCTCCAAAGGATTTGAGTTCGCCTCTCCGATCATCATTCCAGATTGGAGCAAAGTCATCAACTGTAGATTTCTTGATCAGATCGGAGTTCCGCTAACGCGCATACACCAGATCTGAACTCACACTTGCTGAATTCAGTCCGCTACTGGCCGGATTCAGTAATCACAACAGATCGCAATTGTGCAGTTCACCGGATCAAGTACAGATCTGATCTGCTTGGATCGGACGCCAACTTCGTGAAATCAACCGGAGCCTGGACTCATCGAGACAAATCGTATTATTGCCAATGTTGATTAAGCTTTCGCAAATTAATCGTCTTCCTCGCAGAGTGCTTTGAATCGAATCGATCTAGAACAACATCAATGAATCCTTCATGTTCTTCCCACAGACGGCGCCAATTGAAAGTACAAATAATTTCCACCAATTACAGAGAGAGAAATTTTTCACTCCCAATCTTTTCTAACGTCTTTTCCCTCTCGATCTCCCTTATTTATAGACGGTTACAACCTCCTCTGGCCTGGGCCTTATCTGCTACCTTTTGCCTGGACTCAACTTCTCTCATTTTAACATAGGTTTCTGCAATAACTTTATGGATCTGGGCCCATCCAGCGTGAACTTGCTCCATCCTGTCTATCCATATCCGACCCGTCCTTTGCAATACGGATCATACCAAGCCTGGGTCATTTTGGTATCCTCAGTGAGAATTATTTTTTTAAAAAAAACATTAAAAAAAATTGACATGTGATCAGAGTACTAATTGGGGGAGAAAATCATTTTCTAATGTACAATATTGAGTCAGTGAAGTAGAGAGAGAGAGAGAGAGAGAGAGAGAGAGATATTTTTTTTTGTCTTCCTCTCTCTTATCAATTAAAGTTTTTGGAGAGAGAGTTATTTTTTTTTGTCTTCCTCTCTCTTATCAATTAAAGTTTTTGGTCACTACGGTCTCCATTCTTTCTCTACTTATCAGTTATCAATAACCTTTTTAGTAATGAAAGATATCTTGTGGTCACTTTTATTATATCTGCTTATGATTTGATATTAATCCTTGTAAGTAACAGTGTAAGATCACAAAAATAAATTGATATTGTAAGCACGAAAAATAAAAAAAATTAAAAAAAAAAAAAAAAACTATTAAAACTTCATGAAATAATCAACTTCATCTAAGAGTAATGGTAAATTTATTTTATTTATTTTTTCTGTATTGTATGTCTTGAGTTTAATTTGACTTTTTTTTTTTCTTTATGTAATTTTTAAAAATTAATTTGAAATATCTTTGAATCTTGAAGTTTACCTTGTTGATGAGAAAAGAAAAAACAAAAATATTTTGTGAAAAGAACACACCAAGAGAGAGACAAAGAGATAGTATTATATACAACTATATTAAGCTTTTATATCCCTTTAATAAAATCTTTGTATTATATTGTGTTACAGTAATAAACTAAACCATATTTCGAAATATATATTTGTATCTTACATTGAAGTGGTTGCTATTTTCTTCTCTTTTTAATCTCTCATCCACACATTGGTCTCATTACTTTTTATCGCCAGTAATTTTTTAGCCATTTTCTTTACTTTTGTTTTGAATAGCTGTCAAAGTGTTTTGAATAAATTCTCTTTTCAAGAGAAAAAGGAAATAAAAAGTACTATAAAGAAGGTGAAAAAAAAAAAAAAGGGAAGTTCATATTGCAAAGAATAGTTATGGTATTATAAAAGAAAAGTGATGCATTAATGAGTTTAGATATGTTTTTTGTTATTTATGTTATAGAAAAAGAAAGTTGTAGGGTAAATGTAGAAAAATGGAGTGTGAATACTGACTATATTTTTTTTTTTTTTAAACCCTGATTTTGTTTTCCTTTCAAAGTCCTTTTTCTTTTCTTCTTCTTTTATTTTTTCTTTATTCTTCTTAAAATTTTTTTTTTTTAAACTTTTATGAACTCCACGTGTGTATTTATACTTTTGATTTTTTCTTTAGGGTCCGTTTGGTTAGACAGAAATTATAATGGAAAGTGAAAGTGAAAGAATGTAAAAGAAAGGAAAAGGAAATTAAGTTCCTATCGTGCATTTGGTCAACAAGAATTTTTTTCAAGAAAATTGTGAGAAAATATTATTTTGTGAGTTTGAAAAGCATGAAAGTGAAAAAAAAGTGATTGTAATTACCAAATCTATCCTTTTAGTTACAAGATTACTTTGTACTCTTTTAAGACATTGAGACATTACCCTATCTTTTGAATTATGAACAAAATTAAAATTTTAAGTTCAAAATGAAACAATGAATATGATATTTAATAATTTGATATATATGATTATAGGTACAAGTTAGAAAGAAAAAAAAGTTTGAATCTAAACGAAATATAGTGCTTTAACTAAATTAGTTTGATGTATCTAGTATATGTAGAATTAAAACTAAATTAGTTTGGTACATCTAATTTACTTAGAGTCCTAAAATTGAGAGAAGTCTATGTATGAATTAAATTGTAAATTATATACGTAGAGACACTAATCCTAGTTTTTCACCCTACACTCTGCTCATAAATATTCACATTATTAATTATGATTGGAAAAAAATATAATAACATTTTAATTTTATGAACACATATAATTAAATTAATATTATATTAACATATAAGTAATTTACAATAGAAGGGAACTCACTTATTAACGAAGTTTGTTGGGAAAGTGGCATGGGTATAATAAGAAACTAAGATATGAAAACATTACTTTTACGGGAAAGTAAATTTCCCTGTGTTTTTTGCGAGAAATATTTTGAGAAAAATTAAACGGTTACGAAAATTTACTTTCCTAAAAAAAATTTCTTTCGCACTAACCAAACTGTTAACAAATTTAAAAATTTTCTGTTCTTTTCCTTTCTATCTATTTCATGCTAAGCAAACAAACCCTTAATGTAATATTTTTGTGAATAATTAATACACTGTTATTGCACTTCTCTATCTATGTATATTTTGAAAGGTACATTTCTATCTTCTCTCTATATATATTTTGAAAGGTACATTTCTATATTTGGATTTGTGACTTATTGCATTGTTAGTTTCAATATGTTTCTTTTGAAATTGATTGATGCTTGGTCACTATTTTTATTAGGACTATGGTGCATCACGACTAAGACTAATTAAATTAATGAAAAGTATGAGACAGTTGATTTTCTTATACTCTGAAATAAAATCCTGGTTCTGCCAATAATTTCTTTCTAAGTGAATCGGTAAACAAAATTTTATAAAATGATGATTCTACACTTTCTGTTATGAAAATATTACCCTCATATGAAAATCATAGCGTTGCTGATTTTTCATACTCCAAGTTACCTTCCGACAATTAGAAAACGAGTTGCTGATTTTTCTTACTCCAAATTACTTTCTGACAATTAGAAAAAGATTTTATGAGAAATCAAAGTAAGCAATAAATGTCAAATGGTGTACCGTTCTTTATTAAGTGTTAAAAATAAAATAAAATAGTAATATTTACACCACACCGAATAACTTGTAGTGAATTGTTGAATAATTTTTATTTATCGCATAATTAATTAATTAAATTAATTAATTTAGTAATTTATTATAAATATTCTGTGTAAGAATTATTTTTCAATTGGGTGAGGATTATTATAATTTATTTTTCAGAGTACCAATTGGGTGAGAAAATCATTTTCTTTTTTTAAAAATAAAAATAAAAAAGTTGACATGTGATCAGAGTACCAATTGGGTGAGAAAATCATTTTCTTTTTTTAAAAAAAAAAAAAAGTTGACATGTGATCAGAGTACCAATTGTTTTAAAAAAAAAGAAAAAAAAATTGACATGTGATCAGAGTACCAATTGGGTGAGAAAATCATTTTCTTACGCACGATAAAGACCTAGGGAGTCAAAGCAATGACTGTTCTAGTGGTTCATGTGAATCCAACCCGTAAAGTGAAGTCACTAATTGAATTACATAGTTCCATAGTTAGTTGGACTCGGATAGAAGAATATTAGTAATTAAACAAATTTATGGACCATATAATATTTCGCGTAAATCTGGACCCTTGTAATTCACAAAAAAAAGTTTTGGTACTTAGTGAAGGGGCCGCCAAAAGCATATATACAGAGAGGAGAGAGAGAGAGCGCGAATAGTAACGAACAGTTTCTGCACTCGTCATGAAAGCGAGAGGGAGGGTCTAGAGAGAGAAACACCTTTGTCTGAGGATAGAGAGACAGAGAGACGGTGGTTGACAAATGGGTACACTTCAGACATGGCGGAAGGCCTACGGCGCTATTAAAGACCATACCACAGTTGGCCTCGCCCATGTCAATAGCGATTTCAAGGTCCCTATTCTCTCTCTCTCTCTCGAAACACGCACATAGACATATTTGTATTCCCAATTCTCAAAGATTATTTAGATTTGATTGATTGTGTTTGATAATTAGGATGTTGATGTTGCGATTGTTAAAGCTACGAATCACGTTGAGTGCCCACCTAAGGAGAGACACATTAGAAGTAAGTTCTTGTATTGCTGGCTCCAAATTACTCTTCTTTGGGTTTTTTCTACTTTTGATCAACCATGTGAAATTTTGGTTTTTGTGTGTGTGTGTGTGTTTGCAGAAATTTTGGCTGCCACTTCAGCGGTTCAGCCTCGAGCAGATGTTGCATACTGCATTCATGCGATTTCGAGGCGATTGACAAAGACGCATAATTGGACGGTGTGGATTTTATTTGTTTAATTTTTTGGCAATTTCAATGACATTATCATATTTTTACTCCATTAGTCAGATTTAATTTCTCTCTTAATTGAATGTTTGGAGACGAAATGGGTTTTACTGTTGTCTACTTCACCATAAATCATGTGGGGATTCTTTTCTTCTAGCATATGGTTATATGGTTCTGATTTAAACATGATCTGGGTTTCAAGCAAGAATCTTTTTTTCTTTTTCTTTTTTTTTATTCAATTCTTTTTCTTGGTTTAAGTATTTCATTTTTATGTGTCTGTCAAATAGTTACTTGGGATGGTATTAGTTATGTACCATCCTGTCTTTTGAAAGTGCAAATTTTTTAAAGATTACAAATGAAGTTTTAATTATATTTTATTAAGTGCTTTTTGTTTTGATAGTTATTTGTTCAAGTTTGGGAATGCACTTGTTTAATATTTATATCATGTGAGTCCAATGTATCTTCTTCGCTTGCCAACTGGTTATTAATTTCTCCCGTTCACTAAATCCAATCCTTACAGTTTTTTTTTTTTATTTTTTTATTATTATTATTATTCCTTGGTGGATAACAACAGTTTTGGATGACCCCCACCCAAAAAATAAATAAAGAAAGAATGATAGTTGTTTGCTTATTGGCCCTAGAAATCATCATCTTGAAATAAAGTTTGCTGTCTGTCTCGCTGTCTCTCGAGTAAGTACAGATCATGTGTCTGCCAGATATTTTTCTTCATGCTTTCTTAATTTATTAATTTTAGGGTTGGGAAATCAGATTTTCTTTATTTCAGTAAGATAAATATAAATTATGAAGGTGTAAATGAAGACTTCGAAATATGGAATTTGTAACCATATAGAAATTTGGCAGAAAATATCCAAGAGAAGTTACTCTTAAGGTATACTAAGGTGGTGCCTTAAGTGATGGGAATCTATAAATGGTGTTGGATGAGTATGAGGGACTGCTACCAGTGTTTGGACGTGAATTTGAAATGACAGCTGATCTCGACCGTTCTGCTAGGTATGAGGAGATTGGTGGCATTGGCTTAGTTTTTCCTGGGTTAACAAATCAGAATGCGCTATTTTTCTCGAAAGAAGGGAAAATATATGAAGGATAATCAATTACCATTTAAGTCAAAGATGTATTGTGATACGTGGATGTTGTGGTTCACTATAACCTTTCAGGTTGAACTTGGAAGGGTTAGTTTTTGCTATTTTGCGTTTTGTATGCGAATATCAGTTGGAAGGACCTCTTGACGCATAAAATATGTTCAAAGCAATATCATGCTGAAGTTTAAATAAAGTTGGAGGGTTTGATTGATTATTTATTAATTTTGTATTAGACTGGTTCCCGGAAAAGGGTCTTAATATTGATGATAGAGAAGTTCCATCTAGATGCAAATATTGTTGAAGCAAATATGAGAGAAATACAAATATCACATTTCATGGTTTGATGACAAAGGAAATGTTCGGGAAGGGGATGAAGGTAGTTTGGAACTTCCATTTTATCATCTTAGGGGTTGGAGTGTGAAATCATTGTGTGTTCACGATCAAGATATAGAGGAATTGCAGATAGAAAATTCTCTTTTTACTATTTCTATTTATAGAAATCCAAATTTCAAATCCATATGTGATCTCCCACCGCCCGTTCTCTTTCCTTCCTCCTCTGCAAGATAATTTTCTGCACTTAAAGCATCTATATATATATATATATATTTTTTTTTTTTCTTAGTTGGTACTCACACACACATGCATCCACTAAGGTTCGAACCTCTGACTTCCCTCTGGGAAGTAGGGGCATGGTACCGCTAGGCCATTGGCATGTTGGTGCATCTCTATATTTTGGTGATTCAATTAAAATTTTTAAAATCATTCTAAAAGTTGAGATTGTAGGGTAACAAGAGATCAAATTATAGAGAAACTGCAGATCATATAGACAAAAATCATTCTCTTTCACTAATTCTGAATTTCAAAATTCCCCCTTGTGTGATCTCCCCAACCTCTCCTCTTACCACAAGTTATTCCTGTATTGTTTACTGCTTGATCTTGATTGTTGTTTTGCTTGTTTCTTTCCATTGTTGATATTGGCAATGGCAACCTTCACATGGACATCATTTGGAGTAAGTATTATGATGCTAATTATTTTCTATTCACCTTCTGTATGCCACAGTTGTCCTAGCAACACATTAGATTTGTCCATGTTTACCTCATGACACGATTCTACATATTAGTGGAAGCCTCAGTTGGAGAAATAATCTTGGCATCGCATGTGAATTAACAACCTTGTGATGCAGGACCGAAATCTCCACTTTCTGATTCTTATCTTTGCAGTGTTCATCTATCTTCTGAGCAACTATAAATACAATGCCCTTCTCCAACCCATTTAAATTATATCACCGTTAATGTTCATGTCAGGGACATTCTTCAATCAATCGTTCTACTCTGATCTGAACAGTTGTTGAATCCAGCTTTTGCTTGATTGATGATGTTCAGTCCATGATTTGTATGGGTTGATTGGCATGCTTTGCAAGCAATGCAGCTTTGCTAAGCCTTAAAATGGCATCCAAATTGCATTTTCACCAGATTGAATTTATATATTGCAACCTAATCATTGATCCCTTTATATAGAACATTAGTATGTCAAGCAACAATCGGATCCCCTAATTCAATGAACCAGCCCTTGATAGAAAAAAAATGTCATGTATCTCATTGACAGTCTTCCTCTTTTGATGAAGATTATGTAATTTTCTGACTAGCATTCACTTCTTGTTACCTGCAACACGTCTTCCCTCCATTATGAATCTTGGCCTCAATCGTGCACTTGATGTTTCTTTTGATTCCCATGTGGCAATCAATTTTTTTTTTTAGTTTTATTCATTTCTCTCTAAAAAAATTTCAGTCTTCATCATCTATCTAATTTTATTCATTTCTCTCTAAATTTATTCATTTTAGAAAATTTCAAGACTATGTATATAGTCTGTAACTTCATGGGATTAAGATGTCTGTCAAAACAGGGACATTGATCCATAACCTCCCTCTCAATTAGAGAGGGATCTCTATCGATGATCCTCAAGTTGTTGATATCATCCTTCATTTGGAATATTAAATTTAATTAAGATGGTCAGAATCTGACTGTTCTCTCAACCATATTTCAGTAATCATGTGGAGCAGAGCCTCTGGTCAAAAGGAGGGCAATGACTTGATTACTTTAAAGAGATTTTCTGCCCCCTTAGGCAGTGTAGTCTGAGAGGAAGAGTGGAGGATACTTTCTTTTTCCCTAGTTGAAACTCACACACCCACTTTGCCTTTATGGGGACCTTCGCCTTTTTTTCTTCTTTCCTCTGTACTTTTTGCTGGGTAGAAATTACTTTTATTTTTTTTCCTCTTTCAATAGTAATATAGAAAAAGGTGTGTGATGTTGTGGCCCGAATTTGGTGCCAAGTCGTGTTGTGACCCGTTTATGACCCGACGACCCGTTGCATGAGCTTTTGCGTGGGCCCAAGCCCACCAAAAATTTGACCCGTTTTTGCTTGTGGGTCGTGGACCCCTAGTGAGTACTCTCTTGTAGCCCAATATATAAGGGCGTTTAGGGTTTGGAGTGCGAGAGATTGAGACACTGAAAATCGCAGAGAAAGAGAGTGGGGCTGAAACTTGTAATCTCCTATTTTTCGCATAGTGAAAAATTTCACCGGATCTCCACCATGGATGGAGGCTTTGCCGAACCACGCTAAATCTTTGTGTTCTTTGTGTGTGGTGTGATTACTTTTCTGTCGTGTTTCTTCATTTATTCTTGGGTTTGCTGCGTTTGTCGTAACAAGGTGTTTTAGTTGCTCCATTTGTCGCTGCAATCAAAGGATCAACTTGTGGTGATGTTGTCATCTGCTGGTCCCACACAGCCTCCAACATGAAAAAAGTGAGCAACAGAGTTCACATATAGCCGTTTGGTGCCTTCTTTGGTAGGGTAAATTTGTTTATTGAATTGTAATTGATACAAAAAAATAGTGTCAAATTCCTAATTTCCTATTTTAGCCAATACTGCAATTTGTACTTCATTTGCATTCACTCTGTGAATGATAACGCTACAAAAAGATTGAAAATTAAGTTTCTATTGTTTGCTTATATGTTGACAAATCTAGCTTGTCTTGCATGTAAACTTGTTTATATATGCTAACTCGTTGTCTTTGTTCGACAGGTAGCATTGAAGACTCTGGTAGTTATTCATAGGACATTAAGGGAGGGTGATCCTACATTTAGAGAAGAAATCCTGAATTTCCAACAGAGAGGGCGCATTCTCCAACTGTCTAATTTCAAGGATGATTCAAGTCCCATTGGTTAATTTTTAATACTCTATACTTGTTCTTTGTTATTTAAATTATTACTGCCTTTAAGCAGTCTAATTGAACTGTTCTTATTAAAATTTTATACTTGGAACAAGAAATTTTGATGCTTTCAGATTATTATTTTTATTTATTGAAATTCTTTAATTCTTTTTTTCACCTCCCAGCCTGGGATTGTTCTGCTTGGGTACGTACATATGCTTTGTTTTTGGAGGAACGACTTGAATGCTTTAGGGTTCTAAAGTATGATATTGAAGCTGAGCGCCTGCTTAGACCTGCCCAAGGGCAGGAAAAGGTATACCCAAAAGTATATGCATGTGTGTATATACATATAGACATGTAAATTATTACATAATTTTTCAACTGATAGGAAAGAGGGGGAAAAAAGGCAATGATGATAAAATTTCCCAATCAGAATGGAACACAAGTTGGTAAAGAGATAATATCTGGACACTTCATTTTGGTTTAGTACTTTTATATATTGTTGTTCTTTCCTTTTCTTTTTCTTTCTTTCCCTTTTCAATTAATAAGTTTTTTGTCACTTGTTATTTTTCTTAACTCAACAAAGGTTTGCTTGGTTATTTTTTAAGTAATTGAAATTGAATCTTTCTGAAGAGCTTCATGATACAATATAGGCTAGCATGTTCTCTCTTGCTGTCAGGAGTTTGTATTTTTGGAGACATTGTTTAGTTGAGTCTTATCTTTTCTATGTGGTCTATGTTGGAATTGTGTTTTTAAAAAGTGGAAAGAATGGGGTGCGGTATTTTGCCCGTGCAAGAGAGGCAAAAAAAGGCACAATTCAACTCAGCAAAGCCTTTCTTCCAACTACTTAAAAGAACAATGTAGATATTGTTTAAGCAGTTAAACATGGTTTAATTTTTTTTTTTTTTTTAAAAAAAAAAAAAAAAAAAAATGAATAACAAATAGAGTACTGGAAAATATCTATGGTTGAAATATTATCATAGGCAAAAAATACAGGAAAACATTATTGGTCACTTTTAAAAAGTAGGAGATAAGAAGTTGGAATCCATTAAATTAAGCATGGTCCCACAATCCATGACAACTTGAGGGGGAGGGGTTGGTTAATAGTTGAACCTTTTGTTTTGATCACTTTTTATTCACAAATATAAGTTGTGTCAAGCATATTTTGATGCCATTGGGTTTGATCACTTTTTATTTCCTGGTTTGCTTTTACCAGGGCTACAGTAGAACTAGGGAATTGAATAGTGAAGAACTGTTGGAGCAGTTGCCTGCTTTACAGCAGCTGCTATATCGTCTCATTGGATGTCAGGTACTTTTTCTGAACTCCAGAACTTATCATACACCAGGACATGTATATAAGTATGGAAGTTTCTGAATTGTTGATTATATATCAAAATCTATGAATGATAATTGATGTTGTATTCTGACTTTACAGCCCGAAGGAGCAGCTGTGAGCAACTATGTTATACAATATGCACTGGCTCTGGTATGCATGTTTTTTTCTTTCTTTTACTGGGTTTTTTTTAAACAAATATAGCCTTAAGGTGGTCTTCAACTGTGAGCATCTTCCCACCCCTATAAATCAATGATTAAAAATAGAGGAGACCTTTGACTTGGGCACTTTTCCACCCCCGTAAATCATGATTCAAAATAGAGGAGTAAGGCACTTTTCCACTGCAGCAGTAGTGGAGAAGGCTCAGTTAGCCAAAGTGATGTCCATTATTAGGTAATGGGTGTACTCGAGAGTAAAGGTTTGGAATTCGAGCTCTCTTTTTATGCTCCAAGTTAGATTCCAGTCACAAGTATAAGAAGGCTTAAAAAACTTGGGTCTAATTCACCAAAAAACAAAGGTTAAGAACTTGGGTCTACTAAACTGGAGAGACAGTGGTGAAATTTCTTGTGCTTTCCAAACTTAAGATTGGAAGTTAAGGCCCTTCTTATGAAAATTATGTCAAATTGCTCCGAGTGAACTTGTAGTTTGTGCTTACCATATGGGTATGGCATGCATGCTTGCTTGTAATTTTTAAAAAAATCACTTATTCTTTCTATGTGTGTACACACATATGAAATTGCATAGTGAGAAGGGACTTCTTATTGATGAGTACTACAGAATGTCCACTTTGGGACTTGCACTATGTAGCTTCTTCTTAGGGGTTGCGGGAGATTCCACTCAAGCTAAAGAAGAGCTTTATAGTAAGGAATAAAATTTGGGATATATTTATTTTCTGCCTCTTATCCCGCAGCTTTAAGGAAAAATAAGATTTCCCCCTCCTCTCCAGACCACCAATCACCCGAAAAACCATTCAATTCGACCACCAAAAAAGAGAAGAAGAGGATATGAAGTTAGAATATACAGACGAATCTGGTATAGAACTTACCTAATAATGACATGACCTTTTAATATGTTTTAATTCTCAGGTACTAAAAGAGAGTTTTAAAATCTATTGTGCAATCAATGATGGAATTATCAATCTTGTTGATAAGGTAAGACGGCTATATTGTTTCTTAAGATTACCTTCTTTAACAATGTACTACCTTGCATTTTTTACTTTTATTACCATTTTACCACCAGTCCATTGGCCCAAGTAATATTGCCCCTTCTCCCCATAGGGAAGGTGAGGGTTCGAGCCCCATAGGGGGCATTATGTGTATTGCTTTCCTACCCAAAATAAATAAATTAAAAACAAAAGCAAGAATGCTTGTTTTTCAATTTTTGATTTAAAATTTTCATTTCAGTTTTTTGAGATGCCAAGACATGAAGCCATTAAAGCCCTAGATATCTATAAACGAGCTGGCCAGCAGGTAATATCCGCATTGATCTTTTTACATTCATGCTGAATCTTCTTGGTTAACTGCTATTGTACTTTCAAAAGTACTTGGAGTGTTTGTCACTATTTCAGCTTCTTGGTGTAATGCTCAAGAAGCTTGTTTTTACTGCAGGCTGGAAGCCTTTCCGGTTTTTATGAAGTTTGCAAAGGATTGGAACTTGCTAGAAATTTCCAGTTTCCTGTTCTTAGAGAAGTAATGATGTTTTATTTTAGTTAATATTTTAGTAGGTTTTAGGTTATTTTTATTGATGAGATTGTTTTGAAAGACTCCACATTGACACTTGTTCACCTTTTCCAGCCTCCACAGTCCTTTCTTGTGACCATGGAAGATTATATAAGAGAGGCACCACGAATGGTGTCTGTTCCAAGGGAAACATTGGTCAGTATGATTATTTATGTGCAATTTCTTGAATGATATATTTCAAATCTGTATTACACTGCCAAGCTCTGTTTGGTACTACATTCTGTTTTTTACTTTTGACATGTACTCTTTTAATTAATGTTTTATGCAACTCCAACTTTGATGTTAGAAGTTATGTGCTGAGAATTGGTATATGGTCCCTATGGATTAGGAATATGTAGAAAGGCTCCAGTTGACATATAAACCAGAAGAAGTTCCATCTCCTTCTGATGATACAAAATTAGCCATTGATGACTCTAAACCACTGCACCCGGGTGATCTTGCTGTCTCAAATGTTGAGGCCCCTCCCCCTACTCAAAACAGTGTGGACACTGGGGATCTACTGGTAAAATTTCAGTTGTTACTTTCGGTGTTTAATTTTGATGTTTATCCTTGCATCCTTCCCTTTTCCTTTCATAATTTTTTTTTTTCTTATTTTGGCTGTCTCAGGGATTAACAGTTGCCACGTCTGATGCATTTGCAATTGAGGAAAGCAATGCTTTGGCTTTAGCCATAGTTCCATCTGGTGACATTTTCTTGTCATTTTCTGTTCTTTTCGACCCATGCTGCTTTGTCTAATTTTGTTGCACATTATGTTTTAGCAAGAAATGAAATAATTATGTGGTTTGTCTAGGTACTGCATCATTTGACTCTGGTGCTGTTCAAGCAAAAGATATGGATCCTACTGGATGGGAACTTGCCCTAGTCACCAATCTTAGCAGCAATGTTTCTTCAGTTAACGAGAGGCAATTGGTAGGCTATCCTATATTCCTAAGTGTTTTTTTTTTCCTCGCTTTTTTTGTGGGTGGGTAAGCACTCACACATGCATGGCACACACTATTGCATCAATTGCGACTTGAATCCTTAACCTCCCATATGATATGGGAGGAGGTCGAGGTACCAGTTAAGCTAAAACCTTGGTGCTAGTTTTTCCCTTTATAATATTCCTTGATTTTGGTTACCGTAATAAGAAAAAATATTACCTCTTGTTGTCGCTTTTAGAAGTTGTTGGACTAAACGCTGGTTCTTATTACTTACAGGATACATCTCATGTCTCATGATGCCTTTATTTTATGTGGATGGGATCGGCTACATGATTTCTATTTTCCATTTTTTTTTATTACAAGTGATTTCTTACAACATATAAGTTACATGTTAGGTCTGCATTGGCCAAAACATTGAGATAAGTGAAAATAACACTAAAGTTTTAAAATATATCTGTATATCATCAACATTTAGAAATACTGAAAAAAGAATGGAACGGGATTTCCTTCAACATGTCTGCTTTATACACACTTAGTTGAGCACATATATAGTAAGGGAACCCAACACCATTATCTCCAGCGACTCCAACCCTTCATTGTAGCAGCCATTGGCCAGAATCCACTAGTCCAGAAAAACTGGCTCGCCCTCAATCATCATTGCTTCTGATCCTATATCCCCTCAGCCACTGCTCCAGATGAAAACTCAAGGAGGCTTTGCTGAAACCTTCCACAGTTCCACTGTTGATTATGCCGCAGATGAATACCAATATAGGATCCCTCACCAAATTCCCAACCAGTTACCTGATGGAATCACACTTGTTGAGGAAAAAAGAAATTTAGTGATTGATGCTGATGAATTCTTATTAAAGGAGGATGTTGATGTCATAAATTCATATATAATCTATTTAATCGATGTTGAGGTGAGCCTACAAGTCACAAAAAGTTGCATGCCTTGAAAATTTTGGGGGGAAATTAGGTGGCTAAAGAAACTCAAAAATTCCTTTTTCTTTGGAAAGGAAGGTGTAAAAAATTAAGTGTCAAAATTCAGGCCCAGTTTTATCCAAGTGGAGGTGTTTGATGTTTGACAAACTCTCTGGTATTTCACGGAGAGTCATAATCTTGCATAAATTCTGCAATCAATTTAATATGTTCTGATTCTGCAGACTTCATGGTTGTACTTTGCATGCTTACAATTTCCGGTTGTTTGTTTTTTTTTTATTTTTTTTATTTTTTTTATTTATTTTTTTTTTTTCTACTGAAAATTTGCTCTTCATAGGTTTATTATAATTTTGTTCTCACCTGATACATCAGTCCACCATTTTGGCTGCGTTTAGAACAACATTTTAATGTAGGTCACAGGATGCTTTAGTTGTTGCGACATTTTAATGTAGGTCACAGGATGCTTTAGTTGTTGCATTGGTGTTCTCAATAATATCGTAGATAATATATGAAAAGCTGGAAGCCTTGATGTTAATGCATTCCTGTTTTAGACATTTGGTGTCGAATGGAAACAAAATGCCTTATACATCGCATTCATGATGGTTTCAAATGTTATGTTACAACTGTAAATTTCAAAAATCAAGAATTCACACTCAGATGTTTACATATGTGGGAACTGTTATGAATGTCAGGCTGGGGGATTGGACTTGCTCACTCTAGATAGTTTATACGACGAAGCAGCATACAGAGCCTCCCTGCAGCCAGTATATGGAATTCCCGCCCCGAATCCATTTGAGGTACCAGATCCATTTGCTTTGTCTAACAATCTCGCTCCTGCCCCATCAGTTCAATTGGCAGCCATGGCTCAACAACAGACGAATCTCTTTGCTCCATACCAACCTGCCTATTTTCAACCGCATCAGCAACAAGGGCCACAAAATCCCTTCGGTGATACAGGGTTTGGAGAATTTCCTGTAAACCATGTTTCTCACCAACAAACGAACAATCCATTTATAACCACTGGTTTACTTTAACCACATCTTTGGATCACATATACATAGCATTACCTGGATGTTGCAGTTGATTTTTGTGTATCTGGAGTTGAGAATAGCAGTGTGGGTTCGCGTATTCTGTCGCACCTTGAATCATTGTTGTTTTAGTTGTGAAAGATAGTGATCATATATTGAAGATGTAACCATTTTATTCATGATTGATATGATAGTCATTCTTATCATTCTGTAATTTGTTGGAGATTTGTTGCACGGAAATAGTGAATGTATTTGTTGGACTCGGCTTTATATGCTTATGTTGAATGGATCAGTGTAACATCAGCTTGGGGGTGGACTTGCAAGCAAGTTAGGTTAGGTTAGGTTAGGTGGTGCACGTTTGATATGCATAATTAGAAAGCATGCATAGGGAATAAGGGCCTCCTTTGTCAGTCTGAAAATAGAAAACTGTTTTTACATAACTGAAAATCAAAAAACTGTACAATAACTCTTCTTGGTTGAGTTTTGAAAACTCAATTATAAAAAGTTTTGTTTTCAAATAACTGTATTTTCTAGTTCTCAAAAAATAGTTTTCTATTTTCTGAATTTTTGATAATTAATTTCTAGAGTTACAAACCAATCAAGTCATAAAATTTGTGATATGAAATATCCATTATTTTAAAAATTCTCTTTTGTAATAGGGCATGTATGTTGTACAATATTTTTTAATTTTTTTAATTTTTTGCCAGAGGAAAATCTACTTGGTTGACTTTTTCGAATTATTTTTTGAAAACACACTTAAAAATAAAATCAGTTTTAGAGAACTATGGGTCTGTTTGGTTTGTAACTCTGAGAACAATTTTATGTTTTTAGAAAATTGTAGGCCCGTTTTCAAATAACAATCTTTTATAGTTCTCTGAAAACAGTTTTTTTTTTATTTTTGGGAACTGTTTTCAGAATTACAAACCAAGCAGACCCACTTTTCTCTTTTGTCTTATTATAACTGTATTTTTTGAATTATTTGAGAACTATTTTCTGAGTGACAAACTAAGTAGACCTTAATCTAATTGTTTTGAAGACAAATAGATGAAGATTTCTCGGAATAAGGGGAAGTGCAGTCTTGGCCAGCTACCGTGTGTAAAAGATAGTAGAAATTGTGTTTGGGTAGCTTTTAACGAAGGGAAAAGAAGAAAGGATTGGGAGAGATTAGATAACCCTCCAAATCCATAATGTGCCATCATCCTTACCAAAAATGAGGAGATTTGGAAGGAAAAGACAATTGGTTATATAACCCAAAAGGCTAAAACGGTACAGGCGCCTACTCTCTACAGGGGAGGTCAAGAGTTCAAACGTTGGTGGAGATGTGGAATGTGTGTTGATCCAAATCCCTAATGTGCCATCATCCCATTTTTGCCTCCACCAAGACTTGAATAGAAACCTTGATCTCCCTTTTGAAAGTATGAGTCTAGTACCGTTGGGCCACTTATCCTTCGGTAATTTATAACACCTTACAAAATGGTTAATAATAACAATTTAGTTGTTGTCCTTTCTTTTCTTTTTTTCCTTTCTTTTATTTTCTTTTATAACTAATGTCATCATTTTTTTCTCTCTCATTTTATCCAAACAAATAATTTAACCTTATCACTTCAAATTTGTTGCGAAATTAAACAAAAAACACATAAAATAGATCAAACAATTTTTACTTGGTTCACCTAAAAATTAGGGCTACGTCCAAGAGTTGCAGATATTTCACTATAATAATCAAAACAATAAACTGATACAGAGACACACTAAGACAACGTAACAAATGCAAAAATTACCAAAATACCATCCAAAAAATTTGCCACCCATCAAAATTCATATCCCCTTTTAAAGTGGAATTTGTTCTTCAAATAGTACCTACTCATGCATTATCAAACACAATTTATGAAAGCAATAGATGAAAATTTTCAAAATTTCAAATTCAAAACAAGCAGCCTTATTATTACCACTTTTATAGAAATTTAAATGACCTAGCAAACACCATTTACCATTAAGGAGGGGAGCCAAAAAGCAAAAGGCAAAGACGGGTCCTCCTATACAATGTCTCCAAAATTCAAATGCTCTTAAATCACCATCATTACAATTGAAACCTCCAACCATTCACATAGATTCTCTTCTCTGTTTTCTTTTTATTCTTTTTCTTTTCCTTTTCCTTTTCCTTTTTCATTTCTTTATTTCTTCGTACCTTATTATTTTTCACAGCTGTTCTCATTATCATCCCTCTTTCTTCTATTTTTTATCACAGGATCCCAAGTTTAGTGACCTTTAGTTGTCTTAAAGACAAGGACCAAATAGAATAATTTAGGTCCCAAAATCTTTCAGAAACCCCTGTTGTGTAAGTCATTGTAACACAATCATATATATATATATATATATATATATATATATATCGGAAATCATCTCTTGCTCATTGGTGAGCAAAAAATTCATCCGCACCATACATGAGCAGCATGATGGACTGTTGTGATTGTTATATTTTTTTGATAACTATATTTGGATGGTCGTGATTCGGATGAATTTTTTATTCGTCGGTGAACTAGAAATATATATATATATATAACCGTGACATGTTGACATCTAAGAGAGTCATTGTCACGGCCGCTCGGCCATGGCGTGTTTGGTTAACAGAAGATAGTCAAATTCCGGCCATAATGAGAGGGGCCTACGCTTTTTAATAAGGCTGAATGTCACGCCTCCATTTCTTCAATCATGATTCTTTTTTAATTCTTTTGGAATTAAGTTTGATGTCATGCCCACCAGAAATCAATCGTTTCTCAAATGGAAACAAAACTGGACCAACTCAGGTAGACTCATCTCTAATGAAACAGAGACACAATTTGAACATGTTCAAATCAATTAATAATACTTCTATGAATCTTAAACCACTAACAAAATATTTTTTTGAACTCAAATGTTTAAAAATAGTTTAACAATCAAAGTGATTTTGTGTATACAACAATTTCAAGAACAGAAAACTGTTTTCAAAAATTGGAAATTTGCCAGAAAAATGGTCCAAATCAAGTGGTTGAATAGCGGACATATTTGAAAAACAATGTTCGAGTTATGATTAGTAATAAGCATATGGTCCCTTGTATGATCATTATACGTACAAGATTAAGCAAAATACTGTTTAATTTATGAGGTGTGTTTGGGTGTCTTTGAAACCACGCCAGCCCTGTAGATAAAGCTTGTTGGGTCCTCCATTTGCTTGAAAGTTTGAAACAGGTGAATGGACGGTACCGCCAAATATATAACTATGTCTTTGTTCAACTAATCGCATGATTTTGATGTCAGGTTTTGAAATCGTCAAACCAAAGAATTAGGAACTCGGAGGCACATCATTTTGGACCATTCAAGATTGTATTGGCCAAACACAAACTATATAAAATTGATATAGTTTGATTGTAACACTTTTAATACAGTCATTGATCAAATGCTATGGTCATCCGTGATATATATATATATATATATATATGAGGAGTGCTAGGGTGCTAGAGACCGTCCTTCCACAATTGCTCTCCTTATTCACAATTTCTATTATTATGCATGAGATGTCTCGTACATTTATGAAAATCAATAATATAAATTTTTAAGACAAAATTATCCTTTCCCCCTTTCATATTTCTTCGCTCTCAGTTTTATCCCGTATACATATACAAACACTCACATACACATAATATATTTTTACATTAATTAGTATACTCTGCGTAGCATTTTTATCTCTTATTTGAAAAAGTGTGCAAAAAATACCCCTAATCTTTTCACAGTGTGTAAAAATACCCCTCTTAACATAAATTAGTTCTGTAATACCCGCTTTGCCCTTTTACTCTTTCGAAAATACTCAAGGGGGTATATATGCTATTAATGTCATAGTATAGGAGTGTTATGTGCACATTATGCTTTTTTTAAAAAAATAATAATAATAATAAAAAAATTCTCAATGTCCATCTCTAAACTTTTGATTTTTTTTTTTTTTTTTTTTAAACTTTGAGAATTTGTAGAACAAGGATTTGAATTTATTGAGGTTTCAGTTTATTGTTTTCTACTAATTTTTTTTTCTTTATTTTATTTTATTTCAAACAAAAAAAAAAAAGGAAAAAAATTCCAATATCAGTTTGCACTATTTTTCAGAGTTTGGAGCATATTTGTTTCCTTTAATTTGCACTTTATTTACTTGTCCATTGTCGGCGTCCTCCAATAGTGTCATTTTCAGTCATTTTACAATATTATTTATTTTTATATATTTTATAAAATGGTTCAATAAGTGTAATTTAGTCAACTTAGGGTTTAAATTTGTGAGAGGGACCTATTTGCACAAAATTGAAACTTTATTGGTGTTTTTTTGCACGTGAATGGTGTCCTCCAATAGTGTCTTTTTCAGTTATTTTATAAAATTATTTATTTTTATATATTTTATAAAATGATTCAGTAAGGATAATTTAGTCAACTTATGGTTTAAATTGAGGGACTTATTTACATCAAATTGAAACTTTAGGAGTGTTTTTTTGCACGTGAAGGGTGTGATATGCACTTTAAGCAAACTTTAGAAATGTTTTCTGCACTTGACCCATATATATATTTATATATTTGTGTGTGTGTATATATATATATATATATATATATGTATATATATATATATATATCAATAACATTCTAAATTGTCCAAAAAAAAAAAAAATCACATTGATAATTAAAATTAATTTCGTAATATAATCACATTGATATATTAATTAAGATAAGCAGATTACATGATTAAATAATGATAACAATTTACAAAAAATTTACAATAATAAATTATATATTTTCTAGTCTAATTAGATTTCTTTTATTAAAAAAACTCATAATAAATAGGTAATTTCAATTTTATAGAAATTCTTCTAAACACCTTATATTAATTTAAAAAATAAAAACACATAATAAATAAGTAATTTGTATATACTTTTTTTATTTGTTTTCTTGTCTAATTAGGGAGACTAAATTATTTATTTTCTTTATATATTTTTCTATCTAGTTAGATTTTATTTTATTAAAAAGAATTTCTATTAAATTGATAATTTGAGTTTTATAGAAACTCTTTTAAACACCTTATATTAATTAAAAAGAAATAAAAAAATCATAAAAAAATAGGTAGTTTTATAGAAACTCTTAACTCTACTAAGACGTATATACTTCTTTTATTTTTATATTTTTTGTCTAATTAGAGTGACTAAATTATTTACTTTCTTTATATATTTTCTTGCTAATTAAATTTTATTTTATTAAAAATCTCATAATAAATATTTAATTTGAGTTTTATAGAAACTCTTCCAAATAACTTATATTAATAATAAAAATAAAAAATCATACTAAATAAGTAATTTGTGTTAGAATTTTATAAAAACTCTTTTAAAAATCTTTTTATACGTATTAACTAATAAATACTTTTTATATTTATAAATAAATATTGTACTAAAATATTGAAACTTTTTTACACTTTTAATAATAAATAAAATACATATATGTATATCGATTAAGTGGGGAGAGAAAAAAAAAATTTATCGTTATGTGACTTCTAGGACAGAGTATAGGATACGAAAGCAACCCATGTGGATTATGGTTAAAACCCACCCATGAGAAGAAGGAATGCAGTTGTAACTACAGCACGGAACATCACCATTTAAGCATTAGTTGGTCATTTTGAGATGGTAAATGAAGCTGCAAGAAATTCATGCAATGGTTTATTCTTACGAGTCTTGGACCTTTGTAGAAGATGTATTATTAAATTACAGTCATAAGTATACATTTATGTGCTCAATAATGAAAATTTTCATCAAATGTTTGGGAAAATTTTCGAAGTCCATTGGAATTTGTGTTTGAAGAATAGAATTTTTTTTTACTCCACCGCAAAATTGAAAATTGTTTTGTGAATTGGATATTTAAGAGTTGGTCGGGAGAAGGAGAAGAGGATGGGAAAGGAAAGAAAAATGGAGTTTCACTTTTGTATAAACACAGACATATAAATCAATGAAGTGAATAGTCTTCACATTTTATATATTGACCTAATAATATCAAAAGCCACGTCATGATTAGTTCCAGCACCTAGCATCCTTCGTGGCCCCCACATAACTTTGATTATGGTCCACCAACCCATATTTTTGGTTGGTAGGTCCATTCCTTTGATGCCCTAAAACAAAAACAGAGTGGAGAAAGCAGAAACGGCTAAGGAAAAGGTGTTTGGATCCAAAGTTAACTCTATCTCACCCCACTGGGATTTTATTATAACCCAAAAAAATGTACAGAATTTCTAGCAGGAACAATCTAGAAGTCTATTAGCTCTTTTGACGTTAAATGGTTGCTTAGAACTTTGTCAAAACTCGAAGGAATTCATGTTTTAATTTTCTGTAGTTGGAAGTCGTCTTCTTTAGCTCTCTCTAAACAACACCACATCTACCTCACTGTTCAAAGTTCTAAATTTCTTAATCTCTCTCTCTCTATTCTACCTCTCACAAGCACAAAGCTGTTTTCCATCTGATTCTTCTGTCTGTCTATCTATCTATTATATATATATATATATATATATATATATATATATTATATCTTCTGTTCCCCTGTAAATAGCAAGAACAGAGCATCAACAATGGCGGCCAACAAATTTGCGACCATGTTGCACAGAAATACCAACAAGATCACTCTAATTCTTATCTATGCAGTCCTTGAATGGATTCTGATAATCCTCCTCCTCCTGAATTCTCTGTTTTCCTATCTGATCATCAAATTCGCGGACTACTTCGGTCTCAAAACACCCTGCCTTTGGTGTTCTCGTGTGGATCACATCTTTGAGCCCCGAAAAAAACCCAATTCATACAGAGATCTTCTCTGTGAAGCACATGCCACAGAGATTTCCAAATTGGGTTACTGCTCGAATCATCGGAAGTTAGTTGAATCGCAATATATGTGCGAGGACTGCTCATCCTCGCTACCAAACAATGACGGGGTTTCAAAGAATTTTGCTTTCTTTCCATGGATGAAAGAACTTGGGGTGATTCAGAGTGAAGGAAAGAAGATTGTTGAAAATGGTGAAGTGGGTTTGAAGTGTTCGTGTTGTGGTGTGAGCATGGACAGCAAAAGCAACTCTCCGTATATTGTTATCAAGCCTGCTTGGGATGTTCTGGATTATACCCAGAAAGGAAATTTGATTGCAGACGCAGGGAATGATGATGATGATCATATTGAAGAAGGAGATTGTTCGGGTCCGAGCAGATCAGATTTTTTGGTAGATCGATGTGAAGACGAGCGTGAAATTGAGAAAGAGGTTGAGAATCAGATGATTTCCGGGTTTAATGGACGTTTCGGTTTTGGAGAAGAGGAAGCAGAGGAGGATTGCTCTGTTTCTAATTCAAATTCCGAATTGAAAGAATTCGGAGGTGTTTGGCAAGCAGAGAAAGAACCCATTAAGGAGGACAATTCAAATGTGGTTATGGAAGATCCGTGGTCCGATGAGACCATCAATTCCATAGATGATTCATCTCTTGAAATCATTCCTCAGCATTTGGAGTTCTTTGTAGGTCAAGGTGGTTGTCGACTGATTCCAGTGGAATTGATTGATTCAACCACTGAGGAAAATCAGAGCAAGTACAGAATTAAGGAAGAAGATCATGAAAATAATGATATTCAGGAAGCCAATTTAGGGTCTGTATTGCAGGATGAGGCACGAATTGGAGAGAGTGAAGAGGAACCTAGATTTGCAGTGATTGAATCTGTGGAAATGGAAGAGAATGAGAATTCTCTTGTAATTCATGAAAAAGATTTTGATTTGATGAGAGAGGTGTGTGAACAAGTTGCTATGACTCAAGCAGCCCAAACCCCACCTAAGGATGTTGATGATGATGTTCAAGCACCAGTGGCAGCAGAAGCGAACGAAAGGGATTCAGATGATTCTCCTCAAGGTACTTGCACACCTTAAAATCCTAAATAATGTTACATGTAGATTAAAATTTCAATTTTTTTTTTATGATATATGCAGTTTTTGAAGAATTGTCTCAATTTGTAGTCAATGACGATGTTCAAGCACCGGTGGCAGCAGAAGCTAACGAAAGGGATTCAGATGATTCTCCTCCAGGTACTTGAAGAACTTAAAATTTTTGATTAAATTTCTTTCATGCTCTTATGTTAAATCTAGAATAAATTTTGAAATATTTTGATGATATATGCAGTTTTTGAAGAAATGTGTCAATTTGTAGTCAATGAAACTGAAGTAGAGGTCTCTATAGGGACAGATATACCTGATCTTGATCCAACAGATGAGATTCAAACTCGAGAAATTCCCACTTCATATCAATGCATACATGAAGATCCTTCCACCAGTTCTGCTAATCTAGATGCTGATAATGATCATGGTAAGCCTCAAATTCTTATCTTGTAACATCATAGTTTAGTTTAATTGTATAAGAATGTTAATTTGGAATTTTTTTTATATTAGGTTGTAAGCAAACTGAGGAAGAAACAATTGTATGCAAAACAATAACAGTTGAGATGAGTGAGACATCAATAAGCAATCATTTTCCTTTGTGTTCTGAGCTTAATGAAATTGAGGATGATAAAGTCCCAGATACACCTACTTCAACAGAAAGTCTCCACCACTTGCACAAGAAATTGCTACTACTCGAGAAAAGGGAATCGGGAACTGAAGAGTCTCTGGATGGAAGTGTGATAAGTGAGTTTGAAGGTGGTGAGGGAGTTGTGACAGTTGACCGCCTGACATCGGCTCTCAGAGCTGAAAGAAAGGCTTTACATGCTTTATATACGGAACTCGAAGAAGAGCGGAGTGCTTCCGCAGTAGCTGCCAGCCAGACCATGGCGATGATAAATAGGCTTCAAGAAGAGAAGGCAGCAATGCAGATGGAAGCCTTGCAGTACCAGAGAATGATGGAAGAACAATCTGAATACGATCAAGAAGCTTTGCAGCTTTTGAATGAGCTTATGGTAAAGAGGGAGAGGGAAAAGCATGAGCTAGAGAAAGAGATTGAAATTTATCGGAAGAAGGTTTTGGATTACGAGTCAAAGGAAAAGATGAAGATGTTAAGAAAGAGTAAAGATGGTAGCAGCAGTAGAAGTGGGACTTCCTCTGCTTCTTGTAGCCATGCCGAGGATAGTGATGGGCTGTCTATCGATTTGAATCAAGAAGCGAAGGAAGAAGATGGCTTCTATGGCCATCAAGAAAGTGGCAACCACAACACCCCTGTTGAGGCAGTTCTAAACTTGGAGGAATCATTGGCCAACTTTGAGGAAGAGAGAATGTCCATTCTAGAGCAACTCAAGGTTTTAGAAGAGAAGCTTTTTACATTGGCTGACGAAGAGGAAAATCATATTCAGGATATAAAACCAATTGACCATTTATGTGAAGAGAATGGTAAACATCTGGATGAGAATTCCGATTGTGATTGTGATTGTGATTGTGAAGTGAATGGGGATGAAAATGGTTTCTCGAAGGAAATGAATGGGAAGCATGAAGAGAAAAGAACAATGGGTGCAACAACAGGAAAGAGGCTTCTTCCTCTTTTTGATGAAATTAGTGCAGAAAATGAAAATGGGATGTTGAATGGTCACGGAAATGGGATGTTGAATGGGCACGGAAATGGGGTGTTGAATGGGCATGAAAATGGGGTGGATTCTGTCACAAGAATCAAATTGGGGAACAAGAAACTTGCCGTTGAAGAGGAAGTGGATCATCTCTATGAGAGGCTACAAGCGCTTGAAGGAGACAGAGAGTTCCTAAAGCATTGCATTAGCTCCTTAAAGAAAGGTGATGAGGGCATGGATCTTCTCAATGAGATTTTACATCATCTTCGCGATTTACGCAATGTGGAGCTCCGTGTGAGGAATCTGGATGATCACTGTGTTCTAGTATGACACTGTCCTCAGCTATCGTGACCAAGAAGATAATCGGTAATATGATCTACCATATCCTCATTAGTATTTACATGTTTCTCATAGAAATGTAATGTAATAATGTCAACTTGTAATTGCAGTTGTTCATTTGTTTTGGATGCTTGGTGAATGCAGATTGTGTTCTCGGAATTGATCAATGGCTTTGGACTTGGATGAAAAGCACTGCATATATCCAGTGAAAAGCGGATGCGGTTTCGCATGTTTTAAACATTGGAAAGGAGGTCCTTCGATGGAGAGGGAGGCTCCTGAGGTTTGGTGAACTTGGTGGACTGGAAATTGAAGCTTGTCTGCCTAACCTTTTGTTTTCTTCTTTGTTTTCATGGTTTTTTTGAGTCCAAGTAAAGCCCTAATTTTTGTGGGTTGTGACCATCTCAACCTTTTTAGGGAAAGGAGGATGATGGGTGCATGTGTGTGTAGGCTAGTAAGGTGACTAGGTGAGGCCACCCTGTAATTTGTATGTTATGAGAGAAAGAAAAAAAAGCCTGGCTTGCAAAGCTGGAGAAAAACAACAGAGACTCCAGTGCCAGGTTCATACCACTAGTTATCATAGACATTTAGAAAAAAAGGAATTTTTTTTTTTTTTTTTTTTTTTTGGGGGGAGGGGAATGAAGAAAGGCAAGTAATTCCCTTTTCTCTCTCTCATATCTGCATCATTTCATCATATGAGGTTTGTTTATTATTATTTGAAAGGGGCATAGTTGATTAGTTGTATACTACATGTATCTATCTGTAAGTATATAAAGTGAGTGTTTGTTTATATTGATGTTTTGTTTATACCTCTTCATCATTATTTTCTTTGTTTTGAAGTTGGTGACAGAAGTGAATGTGCAAACAATGTTAAAAAATGGAATAAATTAATTAGAAGAGGAAGCAATGTCTGCTTTCACTTTGGATTTTGCTTCAAGTATAAAACAACTCCTTGGTAGGTGTGGAATGACAAAAGTCAGTAGATTATTTAATTAGGCAAAGCAAAGTTTGGTTGTTCAGACAGCTATTATCGCTGGTCCAAGGGTATTATTGGAGAGGTTAGTCTTCCATGTTCAGAAAAATGAATTCCCCAACACTGTAACTCAACACCGTACATATCCACTATGTTCTATCAAGAATTGATAAAGGTAAAATAGAAACCTTACTTTTTTAAAATTCTGAATTGATAAATATATCCACTATGTGGAATGACAAAAGTCAGTTTGAGGTACTTTTTTAACTCAAACTCCTTTGTAGCTCAATTGCTTCATTCTTCTTTCAAATTCTGAATTGATAAAGATAAAATAGAAACCTTATTTTTTTAAACAGATTTAATTTAATTTTCAATATGATTGAAAACCGATCAGATTGAGAATATCACCCTAAGATCACTCTTGTGATGGTGCGTGCTCTCAAGTATATAAAAATATATAGAACAATCAATGTGAGTTTTTGTAGAAAAAAAAATAATAACTCGGTCGGACATGTTTTGACACCAAATTTTACCAATTACAAAATTTATATCTAACAATTTTAAGCCCATTATAATTGACTGAAATAAGTAGATATAAATATATTAAAAATTGATATATTTGAAGAATTTAACAAAACCAAAAATTAAAATAAAAGATGTCACTCTCACACTTTCAATACAGTTTTACTCTCACGGTTCACGTACAATTTTGTTCCTATTTCTTTTTATATGACATAAATTTCGATACTTTCCTGCTCACGTTCAACAATCATGACTAAACAATTATATACGCTAGTTTTTTCTAGAAGGACGAGTGTCTTTGACTTCGCAACAACTGCCATCTCTTTGTTTCAATAATTCAGACTCTAAGGTGGATAATCTAAAAATAAAAGACAATACTTGGGTGTGGAGGAGGATAGAGTTTATCCTCCCAACTTATGTAGTCTAATATAATTTTGAAACATATTTTAAATTATAAAAATTTTAAAAATAATTATTACTTATTTTCAATTCGTTTGGGCAACTTGAATATAGGCAGGGTCAACCCGTCATGACCCATAGACCCATTAATTATTATTTTTAATTATTTTTTATTTTATTTTTATTTTTTAATTTTTAAAATTTTTTTATTAAATGTTAACATGATTAACATATATTATATGTTTGATTATTTATCATGTGTGTCTTAAGAAAAGACAACTTAATTATTTCAAAAATAAAATAAAACTTAACTGTGAAGGTAATATCTATTTATATTGAGAGGTACAAATACAACGCATTATATTTTCAACTTCAAAATTTTTAAACAATACATTGTAATCTATATATTCTTTACTTTGAGAAAAAAAGAGATCAATAATTGAAATTTCTCTATTTTCATATTGGCCGATCCATTCTTTTGAGAGAAATATGCACACCGTAGAAAATTGAAGCATATTATTTATATGGGATTGTTACTTGGCCTTATTACTGATGACAACAATTTTATAAGGAAAAAAAAAAACGAAAAGAAAAAAAGAACATAAGGACAATAAAAATCATATTATTTTATATTGGTCTGATGACGCATACTTGATGATTGTAAGAGTGGTCAATCAGGTGGTTCAATGGAAGGTCAATATAGATTGGTTGTGATAAAATAGGTTCTTTGTCATTGGTGACGATGGCACAACTTGTTTAAAACATGCATTAATTTAATTTAAAAGTTTACATCATTTTCTATTCTACTGTAGTTTATCTACTATTTTTGTCAATGATTTAATGTAACGATTATACAATCCATTCCAAGATTTCTTCATGCATTTTAATTAATGATTAATGATTATTGAGTTTTTGTGGCTGAGAATTAATTTATATTTGGCGGGTCAAACTTAATCACCACCCACCGTTTTATGGCATCATCATCTGTATAATGAAAGTCAAGAGTTCACATCCATGGCTGTGAATTGAATCCAGTTCAAAAGGTCAATTTCACATTTTTTGTTCTTTTTCTCATGATGTAATTATTTTTTCATACTGCTATAAATACACTATAATAGTAATTTTTTAAAAATTTATTTATTTAACTATTTTTAAAATTTTTTTTTTGGGAAGGTTTTAAAATTTTTTATTTTTTAATTATTTTAGAAGAAGTTTCTAGAAAGAGAAACTTAAAAAGAGATGATTGATAAGAAACAAATTTAAAGAGATGATTGTGATAAAGAGAATTTTAGAAAGAGAAATGAGTTAAGTGCAATATAAAATATATGTAAGTTGTTGTGTGTTTATTATGTGATGGGTGAAATATGGGTTGAATATGGTTAATCATATTTAATCTATTTTGATCTCAAATTAAGTGGTTAAAAATTACCCAACTTATCTTGACCTTTAAATTAAAATGATTCACCAATAACTATTAAAATACAAGCGAATATGGACGGGGTTAATGGTTCTAGACTATTTTGTCACTCCTAAGTTAGACAAGGTTTGGCCTATAGAAAATTTGAATAAAATGTGTATTTTTTTTTTTGACCAGTAATTTACTCAAGAAAATTGTTTCACTTTCAAATATATACAATAAAGTTTTAAGGTGAATTGTACACTGCTAATGTCAGGAATGCGAACGTTGAACCAGGTTAGTCAATTGTATTCGTAGTCTGTTACATTTATCACACAATTACAACACCCTTGCCTACACACGCTTCAACTCACAATACTACGTATATAATTAATTTTTTTTAATGATGAGTAGGTCCTTTGACTTTGCTGTTGGTGCCCTTTCCTTCTTTCATACTCTTACCTTGTGGATTCGTACTGTCGCATTCTAACGAAATCGAACAAAATCAGTATAAATTAATTGATATAAGTTAATTTTTAAATTATGTATTTTTTTTAATTTAATTTTTAAGAGAATAATTTTTATTAATTTTTTATTATTATATTAAATTATTAATAGTGAATGAATTTATCAATTTGGACAATACTTAGGTCCTCGTAAGGATTTACAATATACTCACCGCTGATATAAATCAATAATAAATATATACGTTTTATTTTAATTAATAAATTATATTCGTAAATGATAATCAAATTACCATCTCTTATTTGATAATGAAATATCTATTTCATCATTTTAATTTCATAATTAATGATCATATCTATTTATTATTAATTCATACTTTCTCGTCCCATATTAGATGTCCCTCGTGGAAAGTAGAATTTTTTAAAGGGATATGTAATTATTACATTGTCCCTTTTAAAAATTACAAAATTATCCTTTCGAGTTTAAATATGTATATAATCAAGTTTGAAATCATTTTATATTTTAAAGGTATTTTATAGAAAAATGTGAAATATGTTGTTTAAGATTAATAAGTGGATAAGTATTTTAGAACAATTTAAAAAGAAAATATGAACAACTATTATACGATGGGAATAATAAATATATTGTAAATCTTCAGTAATACCTAAGTAGTGTCCAATCAATTTTATCCTAATACACTTTTCAATCTAACACATTGTTAAAAGGCTACTACTGAAGTACATGGTCAACAACGCGCTCTATTCCTTGAACAATCCGTGTTTCCATCGAAATACTGTATAACCTAATCGTGCGAAAAATAGAGTTCTAGATAGAAAAAAGCAACCAGATAAATCCAACCTCAACGTTTCTTTCTTTTTGACTCTTCTTTGCCCATTCCCACGAGCTCCCAACGAACCCAAATTTCCAGAGCTTCAATCTCTTCATGGGATTTGATACTCACCAGCCATGAGCAAATCCGAAAACTTCACTCACAACCTATTCAAACCCTTCCATTTCGGTTCTAAGAAAGGTACGTTTTCATCTTCAATTCATCAAATATATGTAAGTCTAAGATCACTCTTGTGTGATAGTGTGTGCTCTCGAGTATATAAAAATATATATAAAAAGTCAATGTGAGTCGCATACGTTTTAACACCGAAATTTATCAATTATAAAATTTATATCTGACAATTTTAAACCCATTGTATTTGACTAAAATAAGTACATATAAATATGTTAAAAATTGATATATTTGAAGAACTTTACGATACAAAAATATAAAATAAAATATGTCACTTTCACACTTTGAACACGCTTTTGCTCTCACACTACCCTCACGCTTCACTTATACTTTTATTCCTACTTCATTTTATATGACTTAAATTTTGACACATGCTCAGCTTGAACAATCATGGCGATGAATAGATTCAATGGGAGAGCAACAATATTAATGCTAGTCTAGTGTTTTCTAGACGGATGAGTATAGTCTTTTGTTTCAATAAGTCATACTCTTGGGGGGATAATCTGAAAACGAGGACAATAATTGGGTGTCTTTTGGAGGATAAAGTTTATCTTCCTAATTTATCTGGCCCAATACAATTTAGAAATATATTTAAAATTATAAAATTTTAAAAAATAATTATTACTCATTTTCTTACCAATTAAATCAAATTTCAAAGTTTTCTTTTTTTTTTTTCAAAATAATCACGATTGTTTCTATACCCAACCTTCATTTGAAATTGAAAAATTACTAAATTTATTTAAAGAATATACCATATCAAGTGTTGAATAGGGAAGGAATAGGAACTTAAAATATTATATGAAAATTTGATGTTAACCTATATTTAAATAGAATTTTTCTCGTATATTTATTATTAGTCATAATTAGATCTATATTTTGCATCCCTTCCAAGCTTCCAAGACCTTCAATTGATAGGACTAATCGTTTGTTTTTTTCTTTCCTTTATCTCATTGGTGGAAAATATGAAAAAGAAAGATTAAAAATTTGTGAATACTGCAAATTCCTATTGGTACAGTTTTGTATCACTTATAAACTTCTATTGGTTTGTACATTGTTTTACATATTTAATAAAAATTAAGTATTTGATTGATATAGATAGACTAAGGATTCAGATGGAGGTTGGCTATGAAAATTTGTGAGGGAGAAAGAGAGAGGGGAAGGGAGAGAAAAGAGTCATGCTAAAAGAGCGATTTGAAAACTTTAAATAGAGAAAAATATATATATATATATTGGGTTTGGGTTAAACGGGTAAGAAGTTGGATAATAAGTATTATTAAAATTTTTAAAAACTTGAACATGTCTAAATTATATTGAGCCATTTCATCCTTCTAGGATAGGATCTAAGAATTGTCCAAAAGTAAAATTCACGTGCTTTCAAAAAAAAAAAAAAATTTATTTATTCTTTATTTGTTTTTTTTTATTATTTTATAAATTAAAATGATGGTACTTTCCAACTATGTTTTTAACTTTGTAAGATTAAAGACTCACAAAGTACGAAAAATATTATTCTAGATAGAAGAAAGTAACCAGATCAATCCATAGGTCCAACCTAAACCTTGTTGGGTCATAATGTTAAAGAAAAAATAATAATAAAAATAAATAAATAAACAAATAAAATTGTGATAGGGTATTGACTGATGTATATAATAAGGAAAATGATATTTCAATTGAAACATCTGACCAATTACTTTGGCAGAATCTACGTGGCATGTCCAGTTAGGCCACTTTCATCTCTTTTTCTCTCATCTGTTCTCTCTCCTTCTTTTTTTTTTTTCTCATTTTATTTATCTCTCTAATATCTCACTCACTGGGAAAGAAGCAAGAAGTGGGTCGATCTGTTCTGAAGTTGGTTCATCGGCGCCAAAGACTACTTCCCTCTCTTTCTCTCTCCTTTCTTTATTTTTCCCATTATATTTCTCTCTAATATATATATATGAGAAGTCTTCCGATTTTAATTACCGACTCATCTTCCGAATACAATGTGGTTGGATTACAATAGAACTCTTAAAACAAAATCCCGTAAACATCTCTTTCTTTTCGACTCATTCCCAACCACGTTATATTCGGTGAATAAGTCGTCAATTGAGGTCGGAAGACCTATCACTTCTCTCTCTCTCTCTCTATATATATATATGAAGTTGCAACCATACCTTAAAAATCAAAGGTTGTTTCCTTCTTCAAGTTAAGATGGTAAGAAATATTATTTGAATAAACGAAAGGAAGAGAGAGAAATTTAAAAACAATTAGAAGAGAAGAACTTAACCTAAAACTTGACAGTTTGGGAAAGTTGAGTCTCCCGCCTATATTGTTTCTCCTTTTATTTTATTTTTTTATTTTTTTAATTATTAAAATTATTTACTTAGACTGTCACCTGTATTCTGCAAAATTAATTGGTCAAAATTAACAGTCTATCTATCACGACCCTCACATATTATGTAGTTTAGTTAGACAACGTTTGACCTATAAAAAATTGGAATAAAGCGTGTGTTTTAATAATTTAGTCAAGAAAATAGTTTCACTTTCAAATATATATTATAAAGTTTTAATGTGAATTGTACACTGCTAATGTTAGGAATGCTTCGTAGTCTGTTGCATTTAACACATTACAACACCCTTGACTACACGGCGCTTCAACTCACAATACTACGTATATAATTAATTTGTTTAATGATGAGTACGCCCTTTGACTTTGCTGTAGGTGCCATTTCTTTCTTTCACCCTCTCAGGCATAATTCGAAGTATCGGCGGTCAAAGTCACGGTTGTAATTACATTACGGTATAACATATTTAAATAAAATTAATATAAAATAATCAATACAAATTACATTTTAAAAATGGGTCAAATATCGGCTAACGGACAATATTACGAACCATACTTTCAAGTCGATGATTATATATAGCCAGGGACAGGGTTAGGGGAAACTTTTGAAATTTTTTTTATTAGTGTCCTCTAAATATTGTAGTAATTAATTTATAGATGTTACTTTTAAAATTTATAAAAAAAATTAATTAGCCCCTCCAATTTTTTCAAAATACTTATATATTGACTCAAAATAGAGAGTTTAAAAATTGGTCCAAAAATAGAGAGTTTGAAAATTGGTCCCAAAATAGAGAATTCGAAAATAAATTTAGTATGTGTCTCCTTAAAAATTTAATTAAAAAAAAAAAAAAACCAACAACTTGAACTTATTTCACTATACTTCTAAAAACTCGAATATTGTATATATATTACTCTATTTGTAAAAAATTATGTGTTCTTTTTTAAAATTTAATTTTTAAGAGAATAATTTTTTTTAATTTTATTACTATTATATTAATAGTGAATGAATTTATTAATTTGGACAATACTTAGATCCTCGTAAGAATTTACAACATACTCACCGATGATATAGATTAATAATAAACGGATACATCTTCCGATTTTAATTACTAATCAAATTACCATCCCTTATTTGATAAGTGAATCTATTCCACTATCTTTAATTTGATAATTAATAATTATATATCTATTTATTATTAATCCAGAGTAAGTATGCTCTAAATCCTCAGTAACCCCTAATTAATGTCTAATCAATTTTATCCTACTAAACTTTTCAATCTAACACATTGTTAAAAGGCTACTAAACATTTCAATCTACCACATTGTTAAAAGGCTACTAAACTTTTCAATCTACCACATTGTTAAAAGACCCAAAACCTTGACAACTCAAAAAGTACTCCTCTTGGAAGCACATAGTCAACACGCTCTATTCCTTGAACAGTCTATGTTTCCATCGAAATATAAACCTAATCGTACGAAAAACGTAGTACTAGATAGAAAAAAGCACATGAATCCAACCTGAACATTTCTTTCTTTTCGACTTTTTCTTTACCCATTCCCACGAACTCCAGCGAACCCAAATTTCCAAAGCTTCAATCTCAGCAATTCTTCAATTTCTTCATGGGATTTGATACTCACCAGCCATGAGCAAATCCGGAAACTTCATTCACAACCTATTCAAACCCTTCCATTTCGGTTCTAAGAAAGGTATGTTTTCATCTTCAATTCATCAAATATATGTATGTCTATATATATATACATACAGTAAGTGTTGTACTCATTCTGTAATTGATCAATCAGACGGACAGAAAGAGGACCTAGAGAGGATCGCGGCACAAGAAAAGAAGCAATTCCCTTTTGAAACCCTAGTTAAAGCAACCAATAATTTCAACCAAAATCATAAGCTAGGCCAAGGCGGTTTTGGTCCTGTCTACAAAGTAATTAGCAAATTTGGATTTGTTCAATTGACTTGATTATAGATTCATAAGCTCAAAATACTATTGAAATTCTATATGCCTCATATATATAAGAAACACACACTGAATGTGTACATGTGTGAAATTTATGGGATTTTTGCTTTGCGGGTGCAGGGGAGGTTGGAGGATGGGAGAGAGATTGCGGTGAAGAAGCTGTCGCAGAGCTCGAATCAGGGGAAGAGAGAGTTCATGAATGAGGCGAAGCTGTTGGCGCGTGTGCAGCATCGCAATGTGGTGAATTTGTTAGGCTACTGCATGCACGGCGTAGAGAAGCTACTCGTGTACGAGTATGTAGCTAATGAGAGTCTTGACAAGGTTCTCTTCAGTAAGTTCTCTTCTACTTTCATGTTTTAATCTCTGAAATCTTAGCTCAGGAAGTTAAAAATTGTGTTAAGACAATGAAAATTGAAATTGAGGTTATAAAACTAGCTATTAGTGAAACCCAATTGTGATTTATAATCTTGGTTGTTCTAAATTCAATTAATATAGTGGCTAATAGATTGAGTATGTAGAAAATTATCTGATTGAGCTGTTTGAGAACAAGGAAAGAGTTCCACTCTAAGATAGAAATGCAGAAGGGAATAGGGTGGCCTCAAAGTGTAAGTCGAAGCCTTGATTTAGCTTATGTTATGTTTGGGAGATCTGAATTGGTGCTTTGGAAGAATTGGTGGAAGTTTAGTTCAAAATTTGTACTAAATTTTCTCCAATGCACCGATTCGGTGCCGCCAAACATAGCATTAGATTAAACTGCTACGTTTTACATTTTAAATTGCCAATGAAGAGATAATGCTATTCAATGTTGCACCTTTGGCTGATGTAAGGTGCTCTCAAACAGCTTTATATGTAATTTTTTCATCAGTTATATCTTATTAAGGTAAACCCTTCTTTTTCTAACAAATAGTTTCGATGCCGGAACAGTTGTTGTCTGGCAATGACTGGCATTGGCAAAACGAGGGACTAGTGTGATGGATAAATTTTAAATGGTAGAGAATAACTAGGGAAAAGAAAGAAAGAAATAAAGAAAACATATGATGCAAGAAGAAACATACACAAAATGCTTGCACCTTCTAGTTCATCTAAAGAAAGTCCTAAAATCGATTATATTCAGTTGCTAGGTTTTGCTTTTATATTTTCCAATTGAAGCACATAATGCGATAGTGCAGTTAGCTTAAAAGACAAACTTGTATTTAAATGTATTTAAAACTATGAGGAAAAACTCTTTTCTAGTAGAAGGGGGGAAAAGGATGCTTTGGAGTAATGGTAGCATAATCTTTTGTCATTTTCTTCTATAATTGATAGAGGCAATTACAATACTCTGGAGTATTAGGGGTAATAAATCATTTGATTATAACACCCTTCGAAAAGCTTTTTGCAATCCAAACTTACTGTTATTAAATTTAACTCCTTGAAGTACAATGTTGTATTGAATTGTGCTTAACACCTTTATGTATTATAATATCACAAGCATGCCAATGTGCTGAAATTTTATTGTCTTGACCAGTTCTAGCACAACTCTTTTAGCAAGTCCCACAGCTTTCAACATGGTACTATTCCTCGGACTTAGTAACACTAGAAATGTAAAGTGTGGCTGTTATCATATTAAGCTTTCATAAATTTGGATATAGTAGAGATATGGATCAATAGTCTTAAGATGCTGATTATGATGGTCTTGATTTAGAGTCTGGTCGACGGGAAGCACTTGATTGGAAGCGGAGGTATGACATAATTATGGGTATTGCTCGGGGCTTGCTTTACCTTCATGAAGATTCGCACACATGCATCATTCACCGTGACATCAAGGGCGGCAATATACTACTAGATGATAAATGGGTCCCAAAAATTGCTGATTTTGGCATGGCCCGCCTTTTTCCCGAAGATGAAACGCACGTCAACACCCGTGTAGCTGGTACCAAGTATGTTTTCAAGCAACCTAATTTTTCTTACTTTTATTATAGTTTTGGCCACTTGATCAGGGTCATGTATGTGAATCCAACTCCTTGGAACTTGATTAGTAAGGTATCTAATAGATACTTGTACATGGAAACAGTGGATATATGGCTCCTGAGTATGTAATGCAAGGGCATCTATCTGTTAAGGCAGACGTATTCAGCTTTGGAGTTGTGGTTCTGGAACTGGTGAGTGGTCAGAAGAACTCAACTTTCAACTCAAGTCTGGAAGACCAGAATCTACAGGAATGGGTGAGAATTTGAACCATCTACTTTAAATCCAGATCTTTGGTGATGGATCCATCTCTTGTTGTACCTATTAGTCCAAGACTCCAAGCAATAACAAAGTACATGGGCCAATGTGATTTTATAGTTTCCCCTTCGTTGTTTAGGATAAAAAAAAGTCTGACGGTCTTAATTTATTTACTTCTGCGAATTTGGCCTTGGTATATCATATAATAGATGTTGATAACTGGGACAAAGAGATATGGGGCAATGTTCATGGCTAAAATAATGGAGAATTGAGAACTTCCAATTTTTATATTTTTGTAATTTTTATTATTGTGAACTTTTATAGCAATGCAAGGGTCGTGGTGAGAGGCTGGCTTGGGATAAATATACCGACTTGTGATTGGGACTAGAACTGATGGGGGTGGTGAGGAACTTCGTGATAAGCAAATTTTCCAAGAGGAAAATTGGTGAAATTGGGTTACGAATTAAATTAGTTTAAATTGACAAACCCTTGTACCTGTCTCCCTTCGAAAGAAGGGGAGAAAGAAAAGTAATATAGAATATAACATTATTCCTCCCTGCTATTACAATGTCAAATGCGTTGTTCAAATTGTTGTGGTAAATTAGTAGACAGGTCATAAAACGGCTGCATTTTGAATCTTCTTGTTCGTTGCTGTGAATACTTTCTTTCTTTCCTTTTTATTTTTTATTTTCATTTTGATCGGGTTTCTTCTATGTTTTAATATTTGGCTGTTCCATGAAGGCTGCAAATCCAAAAGGCATAATGGTGTTTAATGTTATTCATGCATGTGCCTGCACACAGGGTTACCAAGGAAGGGTAAAACAGAGCTAGAGGGAGAGGGAAGGAGGGATAACTTAGTTAAAATTAATTAAGCTATTGGTTCAGATGGAACAGACTGAACCAACCTGTTTCTAGATCAAGATTGACTAGTACTCTAGATTATTTTAACTATATTTTCCATCACTATTTTGTATATTACATTTTCTGTTATCACGAGGAATACCAGTATTCATCCATATATATGTATCATGATTCGTTGTATTGCAGGCATATAAATTGTACAAGAAAGGCAAAAGCTTGGAGGTGATGGACCAGACCTTGATGTCATCTGCAGTTCCTGATCAGGTAGCAATGTGCGTACATTTAGGGTTGCTTTGCACCCAATCCGATCCACAGCTACGGCCCAACATGCGCCGTGTGGTGGTACTGCTTTCGAAAAAGCCAAGCGTCCTCGAAGAACCAACTAGACCTGGATATGCTGGTTCCAGATATAGAAGATCTCGCAGACCCACTGCATCATCCTCCACTGCCGGAACTTCTAGTGAGTCCGGTTCCCATACATTTGGTTCCACCACCAATACCAACAGTGCAACAGTAACTGCAACTGCAAGTGCAAGTGCAAGTGCAAGCACATCAGCTCTTACAAGTCCAGGATTAGATCGTCATGGAAAACGTCCCATGCAAGGTTAGGCACACCTTAAAGAAAGATTTTGTTTGTTCTTTTGTTTCGTCTGGGAGCAACGAGTCGGTGCTTTGGATTTGGTGTTGGAGGAAATTTAGTTCAAAGTTTTAACGGAATTTCTTTCAATTCCAAATTCAAAACGCTGATTCGATGCTCCCAAAGATAGCATTTGTGCATTCAGGTTTGTATCATTGTTTTAGTAAATATGTAAATTTTAGAGAATGCTGAGTTAAATTAATACCAAGGTGGGGGTTAGGAGTGACATTCATTCAGTTGTGCTAGATGAAAATATACATTTTTATCTGAGAATTGGTATACATTGCAGCAGAAGATATCAGCAGAGAATATAAACTAATTTCTCATCTACTGGATTGTGTATATGATCAATCGTTCCTTCAATGATTATCTAAGTGATGTTACCGAAGTGTTGTTGCAAATAATCCTTTTGTTGCTTCCGTAGTTAACAATGCAGAATTTTGTTTTTACATTTGGTAAGAAATGAATTATGGTATTTATTTTGAACTTTTTCATTTTACTATACTGGAATTTCGAAAAAGGGCAAAAAATAATAATAATAATAATAATAATAATAGTTGAAAACACTTGAGTTTTATTTAATTCAGTTGTCTAACAACAATTACACAAACCAAAAAAAGGTTGAAATCAACTAAATTTTGTTTGATTGACATTTTTTTGAGGAGTTCTTTGGAAACTGAAAGTTAAAAATAAAATGCTCCAATTTTAGATCATAATTTTTTGTTTAAATATTGGAAATTACTTTTCATGTGAAGTCCGAATGTGGATACAAGTACAAACAAGACATGATGTGGACACTATGACAAGGGACGGATAATAAATGTAAGGGCTAATTTCATAAAACTTAACATAAATTTCAAATTTTGATTATAAACTTTCAATCTATTTCAAATAATTCCTTACACTTTAAAAAGTGATCACATTGTCTCGGTATTTATGGCCGATCCGTTAACTGGGCTGTGAGATGATAAATTTGACCTTAATATTATTTAATATTAAATTTAAAATTGAATTTTTTTAAAAAAATTACAAAAATACCCATCCCCCCCCTAAAACACCCACAAGATAAACTCAAAATCTTGCTTTTATTCAATTATTTTTGTTTATCTATAGTTCCTTTAATTCACGAGGTATTGTTAAGAATTGAGGTCGGTTCCACTGGTTGCCAATCCATGCCCTGCAATTTTGATGGACGTTAGTCATACACTCACATCCATATCTTGTTGATTTATTTTAGGGTAAAGTATAAAGACACCTCCTGAGGTTTGAGTAAAGGACATGCAGAGAAAAGTTTGCCTATTTTTGGACAATGACACCCCTTCAAGTTTAAAAAATGGACAAAAAGACCCTGAAGATGGTGAATTGACCTTATTACCCTTTCATATAAAATTAACATTTTAATTGACTTAAATACCCATCTCAAACCCTAACCCAAACCTATCTTAAACCCTAACCCGAACCCAAACCTAACCCGCCTGTGTAAAGACCCCTCTCCCCTTTTCTCTCTGTATATACATTGAAGAAAAAGGCAACAGGAGGACAAAGGCATGAGAGCAGGACGTAGATGGATGGCAATAGAAAGAGTGGGAGTACCGAAATCAATGTCGGGACAAACGGATTCCGCCGTCGCCACCTCGTGGTGCTTGAACCCTTCGTCATGGTAGTGGTGGTGGTGACGACGCATGCCGCCATGGAACATCATCGGATGGAAGTCGCCATATGAAATTTCGTGTCGGTGAAGACGAGGGTTCATCGACTTGAAGCGGTGGCCGCAACCACGACGAGAGATATGGAAAAAGAATGGACGTTTCAATTGGAAGTGACGGTTGATTGGAGCTCAAAGCAGTGGATCTGTTGGTGTTGTGTTTGAGGTCGTCGTCGGTGATGGTGGTTGAGGTGTGGTGGTGGTTCGCCGGTGGGGTGGCTTGAGGTTTGTTGCAGGTTTGGTGGTGGGTTTGAGAAGGGTTTGTTTTTTGTTCATTTGCTCGGTTTGGGTTTGTGATGATGGTGGGTGTGTTGTGTTTAGCAAGTATAGAAATAATGGTGGTTGTGTTGGGTTTTTTTGGGTTCGAGTAAGTTCCATTTGGGTTTAGCAAGTACAGAGGTGGCGGTGGCAGAGCTCCGGCGAGGTCGAGGTTGGGGGTGGTGGTTACTGTGGGTGTTTGTGTGTGTGTGTATATATATATATATATATATGAAAAAGGTAATTTGGTCATTTAAGTATTTTGATATTTTATAATTAAAATAAATAAAATAATAAAGGGTAATGTGGACTTTTCACATATTTTAGGGCTTTGTTTGGATGAAAAAATCTCACAAGGGGTGTGACTGTCCAAAAATAAGAAAACTTTTCCTCTGAATAGCCTTACCCCAAACCTCAAGGGGTGTCTTTGTACTTTATCCTTTATTTTAATATATGTTATTTTGGAGCAAGCAATCGAAGTTGGTCTAACCACACTGTCACAGGTGAAGCAAACCGTTGAAGTTGGTTGTGAAGTTTCTCGCCGAGCTCTTAGATGTCTCTCTTCATCGGACTTAGACAGAAGCTTGGTTGAAATCATGAAATGGATCTTGTCACCGTCAGAACCAGAGCATTGAAACTCTGTGTTATTATTTGTTTGGTGCTTCGCCGGAGTTAGGTCTCAGTTATAAAGCTATTGTTGCTTAGAGCTCACGATTCTATTCACTGTGGAAGTTCAGCTACGGACACTGAGAAAGAACCATGAATGGACACAACAGTTAAAAAAAAAATTCAATTGCAATCCTAGTTCAAGAACTAGTCAAAGACTCAGTGCACCCAAAGTTCAACATCATTATCTGAGCATGTGTTTGCATCGCCGATTCAGTTGCTCCATCTTCCTTGCTCGCCCCGTCCAAATCTCGCTAGTCATCGATTTCCCTCTACCAGAATTGTGACCAAGTCACAGCCCTCGTCATCGCCACTGGTCGTCTATTTCGCTGAAGTAGTCGCTGGTCATCGTTTTTGCCTCAAAGTTTCACAATCAAAACCCTTTTTCTTCAATTGAATCAACATATATCAACAAATTTTTTGTTACTCTGTGTAGGTGCAAAAATTCGTTAACTCTGATGAGTCAAAGAATAAGAACAACACACTCAATGAAAATAATCAAAACAATGCATAATAGGAATTGAGATTTTTCGATATATCTCATTGGATGTTCATGCCTTTATTTATACAAGATTTGGTGGTAGAATTATGGTAAGACTCGCCTTGCTTGCCCCCTACGATTTGTTCACCATTTATCTTTTACAGCTCGTTCCATATGAGGTTTTATCTATACAGGGCTCTTTCTTAATATACTTCCTTCTATATGAGACTCCTTTGATGTCGTGATTGATTGATTTGACTCAAGAACTTTGTTGGGCAGGAAAGTAGATTTGACCAGTCTTATAATGGGCTGAGATACTGACAATGATTCTTTTGGCCTGATCGGGTTGGGCCTTAAAGGTTTGATGGGCTAAGAGAGGCAGTTCAGAAATCACCCGCTAATGTGGTTTATTGGTAGGGGGATTTTTCCCTCCACACTTTGCCCCAAATTCCCTCCTAAATTGGGTAACGGTCCCTAATTAGAAGAGAATTGAATTTGCACGGTCGCTGGAATTGTAAAAGGCAATTTGGAAGTGGCTATTAGCATTCCGATGCAACAAAGCTCGTTCCTACCATAACTGCGTTTCGCAGCTTTGTCGTCTTCTCAGGTTAGTTCGTGTTTTTCTTGTTGATTCCTACTATGAACATTTCACTTGTTCATGACCAAGTAGAGAATATGGACTCTGAAGTTACTCCTTCAGCATCCCTTGTTCTTATTAGATCCCCTCCCCCAAAAGTCTCTAACTTTCTTGGTTCTTCGAATGATTCCACTGTGAGAGGAGATGATTTTTTGCACCAGGCGGAGGAACCCACTTCCGGATCTGAGGAAATATTTACTCAGGAGGAAAGAGATGTGATTTTGTCACTTCGTCATCTTAAGTTCTCTATTGAGTCTGTGATGGAGGAATTTGAGATTCCTGAAGGGGTAGATATAGAAATATACCCTTCCGACTTTGATTTCAGTTCTGGCGAGGGCGTTGGCGAGAACGAGTTGCTCATATCCGTCAGGGATCTCTATGCCCTTCATTTTCCCCTTCATCCCTTCTATCACTTAATTTTGAATAAGTTGGGGGTTGCTCCTCTTCAAGTAAACCCTAATTTTTTTAAAATAATTTATGCCCTTCTCGTCCGTCGGTGGCTAGAGGGGATCGATCTGAACCATGCTGGTTTGTTATTCACCTACACCATTTGTAAGCACCAAACTGAGATAGGTCGCTATTACTTCTCCTCGTCGATTCTAAGAAGGCTATGTACGGACCTTCCTACCTCTCAGAAAAGATGGAAAGAAAGAATAATTGTTGTTCGGGGGAAATGGTCTGTACCTCAATTTGAAAAACTCCATATCCCTTGGAAGTTTGGGATTTTATGTATAGAGGGACTTTCCTCTTTTCATCCGGAGTGTTCTGGTTGTTTTCCATGTCAGGTCTTACTTTTTTGTCGTATTTATGAATTTCTTGGTGTTTTTTCAGTATCGTTTCCATCTTCGGCGACTAGGAAGAGGCTTGTTTATCTTGAAGAAAAGGCTTGGAAGAATCCTTTATCTGCAGAGGATCTTCTCTCTTTGTCCAACCTTAAGGAACTTGCGTCCAGTGCTTCAGCGACTGATCTTATGGATTTGTCTCTTCCTTTCTTCGATGACTTTCCTTTAACTGATGAAAAGAAGAAGAGGGTGGAAGCGCTCCAGAAGAAAGCTGCAGAGGAGGAACCTCTGGTGGTTGTGCACTCACCGAGCAAGAGAAAGAGGCTGAAGATGCTCCCTTAAAGAAAAGGGCGAGAAAAACTTTTTCCTCCACTGTCAAGGATAAAGGCATTGACCTTGGTAAGGGAAAAAGGAAGAAAACTGGGGAGGTTGGGGCTGAAGAGGAAGTTCAGGCTTATGTCTTGACTGACAGAGGTAATGCCTAGAGGCCAACTTTCTCAAGGTTTGATAAATTAGTTCTTCACTTTGGTGATTCTGTGGTGGCAGTTCATTTTGCTGCACTGGCAGTTGCCCGAGGGATATTGGCTTCCCAAAGATGATGAGTTGATGGGAAAGATGGGTTTGGAGCAGCTTCTTCCTTCTGCCCCTGTGCAAGCTATGGAGGTTCACTCTGCCCTTTTATTCTTTCTTTTTTTTCTTTGTC